TTTTGTTTTTTGTTTGCATTATGACTGCAGGTATTGTGGTCTATGCAAACATGACTCCTTGTAAAAAAAGGTGTCAGTTTTGTTGCCAGATAGAAGGGTAAAAAAACAATTATCATACCTCACCTCTCAGGCTTGTCGGTGTGTGTTGGTCACGTGGGTATGGAAAAGATTCAGAACCGGTTCAAACATTACGACTGATGTTATAGCCGTGACCGGAAATCGACCTGAGATGGCCAGGTTTATTGCCCAGTGTGCGCACAATGACTGGCCCATAATACTGCATCCCAAACTACTTTATCAATCAAATCGAGCATTTCCTGTCTCCGTCGTACAAACGTAGATCAATGACGACCATTCGTGGGCACAGACCCGCGCATGGTCTATAAATTAGAAACAATATTTAATTTACCACTGAGCCAAATCACTATTTTTTAGAAGCGACCTGGTCACAAAGGATAGCTCAACGAAAGTGGCTTATCACCTGGATGTGTATTACAGCCAAACACTCTAAATGCATGTTTTTTTTTTTTCACGTGGAGAAGAAAAACCACCAGAGGAACTGGAGAAAAATCTACACGACCGCGGGGAGAAGACGCAAACTCCAAATATACAGCAGCAGGTGTCAGGGTCGGGATCGAACCCATAACCTCCTGCATACCAGGCGAGGTAGTTAACATCTCCTAGCCACCGTGATGATGATGAGAGAGAGAGACACGCAAACTCCAAATATACAGCAGCAGGTGTCAGGGTCGGGATCGAACCCATAACCTCCTGTATACCAGGCGAGGTAGTTAACATCTCCTAGCCACCGTGATGATGATGAGAGAGAGAGACACGCAAACTCCAAATATACAGCAGCAGGCGTCAGAGATCGGGATCGAACCCATAACCTCCTAATTCTAGATTTGAAGCTTTCGTGACTGCAAGGATTCATACTCTTAGTTTTTTCGGTAAAGTCACGTAGGTAAAAAATGAAATTTAAATTAATAAAAATAAAATAATAAAAATCACGACGTTTCGGAGGCAACACAAGTCTCCGTCATCAGGTGGGACCGTCACAGCCAGATTTGCTGTATCAAGTGAGGCAGGGATTCCAAGATGCAAGTTCTTAAATACAAGTTAAGGGGGAGGAGAGGGGGGGAGCTTGTCAGAATGTGGTAGCCAATGAATGGAACGTATCGGGAGGGGGGGGGGGGCTAAAAGAGAGCACGAGGTGCACGGGTTGCACGTAGACGTGGACGTGTTTGTGCGCATAACCTCCTGTGTACCAGGCGAGGTAGTCAACATCTAGCCAACGCGGCGCACCTTTTTATTGGGCAGTTTTTTTTTCAGGAAAGCAGAGCACGTGGAGAAACTCGTTGTACACAGTGCACCGGCGACTAAAGCTACACGGGCAGATTCGATAATCGTTTACAAAACCACCGTGTGTATTGCTTCTAAGGTGGGATGATATTAGAAGAGTGTAGTTTAGAGTATTTGGCTGCGATAAATCCCCACGTGACAAAAAACACTTTGTTGATTCTAGATTTGAAGCTTTCGTGACTGCAAGGATTCATATTCGTAGTTTTTTTTCGGTAAAGTCACGTAGGTAAAAACATTAAAATTAATAAAAGTAAAATAAAATAAAAATCACGACGTTTCGGAGGCGACACAAGCCTCCGTCTTCAGGTGGAACCGTCACAGCCACGACAGCTGTATCAAGTAAATGAGAGATTGCAGGAGCTACCACTCCGTTTATATAATGGTTGAGTTATCATTTGTGGCCAGCTTGCTTCTGAATAAAAGAGCTATATAGCTGAGTGGGCCTTACCTGGTAAAAAATAATAATTAGGATGGCTTCTGGCGCATTCAGGGTGACTTGGTCGTATGCCAGATTTCTCATTGCGATAGAAACGCAAATGTTACAGTGATTGAGCACTGCCAAATGCCTGTCATTTCTTAGTTTTTTACCTATGAGTAGAAACCTTAACGACTCTCATAACAGCACAGTGTAATAAAAGCTGAATTCCTTCATCGTCACATACCAAGACGTAACTTTTACTGTACGTTGTCGGCAGTGTTTCCGTAAAATATTCTATTGCTCCACCCGCATTTATAAAAGTTGCACATTACCTGTCCAACTGGAGCCGCGAGTGTGCGATCTTGTCACACTGGGGTCTCAAATTACGCAGGCTCGAGCGAGATCGTTGAAGGTGTATTGGTGTAAACGCTGCGATCATTATTAAATCCTTTACATTAAGTTCGCTTGCTTGCTTGCGTCCTTGCTTGCTTACGACCGTGCAAATCTTTCGGTCGTTTTTTAACCCACTTCCCGTGATCCAATCGAGCTGACATTTTGCACACAGACTCGTTGTGCGAGACAATTAATGTTCGTGAAAAAAAATTCCCAACATTTTACACTGTTTAGGGAAAACAAATTAAATATTTAATTACCAATTGCTTAATACTGGCAGACAATCATCTGACCCATAGGTGGCAGCCATCTCAAGCCAGAGGACGAGAAGACTCTAGCCGCCACGCATATAAAGGATTTATAGTGAAAAACTTTGTTTTTACGGGTTTACTTGTTTTTTACTCTCACAATGTTTTACACCTTCCTTTCATTTGGCGCTGAGAACGCTGTGATCCGGCCTCTGTGTACGCGAAGTGCCCTTTGCCAGTGAACGTGAGCCGTCACGTGAGCCGTCACGTGAGCCGTCACGCGAAGTGCCCTTTGCCAGTGAACGTGAGCCATCACGCTAGCGTTTGTCTAACGTGCCAACCCGTGCCGATGAGGATTATAATGTCGCAGATAACAGGATCATGGATAAGAGGAGTTCTTTGCGTGCGTGTATTTCTATACTAAATGATTGTAGTGCTGTCAGCAGATGTTGTACATACATGCTGGGGAATTTGCTATCTGAGTTGTGTCTTGGCAGTTTATTGGTGCGGTTGTTACTTTGTGTGGTTATATTTTGGGATTAAATTTCTGTAATTTCCACCGTCAACATTTGTATTATGAGTAACCTTTCTTTCCAGCTGTGGTTGGGAAGTGTCTTAAAGATGCAGTTGCATATAGACTCGAGACCAACAGCAATTGTGTCCAGTATTACAGCTAATAAGAACATCGTAATCGTGACGCCCCGAACACGTGGAATGGTGTTAACGTCTGCGTTACATTTGGCATCCACTCCACGTCATTTATTCCTGGGAATATATTCACTGGCTGCCTCTTATTATTATTAAATGTTGAATAAAGTGTAAAAACATGGATGAGTATCCATATAATTAATATGATCTAATGCTAATTTAAATTATATTCACGTTAATAATACGTATTACTCTTGAGTTTATATATTTAAATTTCGATTTAAAGCTTTCGTGACTGCAGGGATTCATCTTCTTGGTTCTTTCGGTAAAGTCACGTAGAAGGGAAATAATAAAATAATACAAATAAAACATAATAAAATAATTCTCACGACGTTTCGGCCACAACGCAAGCAGCCGTCCTCAGGTGAAGAACAGGTCTGTCGGAAAGACAGCGTCTGAATGAACACCACCATGCTTAGCAGCAAGCTGGGTTGGAGGGGGGAAGGGGCGCCTTGACAAAGGAATTTGCATATCAAGAGGAATTTGGCATATTTATGGGATTAGTCACTACTTGTGGAATGCGTAGGAGGTGGGGGGGGGGGTCAAAGTCATATTATGCCCGTGCATTATGCAGTATGCAGGATTAGCAGCAGGATTAGTAGGGTTTGCAGTAATAGAGGGAAGGAATTTTAATAGTAAGGAGCTGCAGCAGTTAAACCACCACGTAAATAAACTAAAATATAAACTACATCAGTATCATCAATATACTAAATATACTCTCCAATAAGCTGAGCTACTAACAGTAAGTCATACATTACAATTCTATGTCGCAAAAAATATAATAAGCCTCCAGCTAAATTTTTTTCTCTTACATCACACGGGTCTACCCCGTACTATATATAATCGTTAAGTGTGGTTTGTGTCTTTTTAAAATAGTGTTGTCCACGTGACCCTTGATTACATGTTGACACGTCATGTTTTTGCTGGAGTAGCAGTAGTCGTATTATTATTAGGAAGTGATATTTGCTCTCAATGGGCTCTTTCTCGGTTGTGTCATCATCATCCACATGATCACTCCCTTGGCGGATAAACGCCTCGCCAAAAAACACCCATCGCCAATCTCTCGTGTTCCAACAATCCACACTCAGGACGTGCACACGAGCTCACCTCGTCGCTCCATCTCCTCCGAAGACGTCCTCTTGGCAAGAGGACCACCCCGCAAGAGTCATCTTTCTCACCGGCAATCTTCACCCTTCTAGCGACGTGTCATTGCCCAAGCCCACGTGTATTAACAGTCGAAACAGTACGTCCTTAACTTGCTCGCGCTCTCCAATGCACGTGTGCTCACTCACCCCCCTGCCTCAGTGATAATGCCAAGCGCGGAATTACTCTACATGCTTCTTCCATAGCTACCGTATCATTTTCATCATGTGTCCCACCAGGCCGTGTGCGTGGATTGATGGCATATGTCTGTTACGAGGCAACGGGAAATGCCTCTCAATATGAGACAAATATTCACCGTAATCGCCTTGACAGACTTTAGGGGCAAGTGCTGTTTGCGAGTCGCATCTATCAAGGCGGCCACGGCACCCGAGGGGGTGGGTGGGTGGCCAACACCACGGCCGGCCGTCTTTGTCTCCCCCAGTGCCAATATTTACACACCGCATCAGGTACTCATTTGAGGCTGAGTCGACCTAGGGGAGGCCCAGGACCGGTTCAGGTAATCGTCACTGCTGTTGGCCCTGTGCGGGAATCGAACCCGGGTCGCCGGTGTCGTAGCGCAGCGCGCTACCTGCTACACTACCGCTCCCCCAATCAGTATAACCCCACGGGGAGAGCAAAACTTTTATTTGGTTTTAGTTCTCCTTTACAGAGTACGGGGGAGGCGCGCAGAACGTAAATTGTGCGGTGGAGTTGTTGATTACGTCGGTTCACACCCAACCTCTCTCTCCCTCTCTCTCCGAGCTGACACTTAACACGCCACCAGTTCCTCCTGTGTCTCGCTTTCCTCCTCCTCCTCCTCAGGTTTAAAATCAAGAGCTTCAAGCGTTTCTTCACGAACAGGACAGAGTGCGCGTGTCGAGAAACTTCGCTCGTGAACTCCAGGTATTTTATACACAAACGCGCGCGCGCACACACACGCACACGCGTGTGCGTTCGTGGTATTTTTGATCGTATTATTTGTAAATACTGCTTGGTAAAGGAGTATGTAATATGTATATGTGAACATAACCAAATGAGTAATGTATTATTGGGTGATGCTGATGCTATTGGAAGTGTTTCACAAGCAAAAAAAAGTCAACACAAGTGTTTCACAAACAACAACATAAAGTAAATAACGCTGTGGTCTTAAAATGAAAAAACACATAGGCGACGTTTCGGGAAATAGCCCTTCATAGCACTTATAAACACATGCCATAAAAAACACCACACCACTATATAATCAGTTTACTGTCAAAACTGGCCCGCTGCCTCAGGCAGCAATGAAATACGTGCCATATATATCATTACATCTTACATATAAATGCTTATCAGGTGCATGTTTTGGCCCTTTGATACAATTAATATTTACAACATTACTGCAGCTACATGATCATTGCATTTTAAGAAGCCATTGGAACTCATGCACCTTTTAAATCTATCTCTCTCCGCCCCCACCCCCTCTCTATATTTAAGGCCCCGTCACAGAGACGACCTCTCTCTTTGTGCCGATACGTGTTCTCTCTCTGTGTATTGTGGGGGTCGCTAGCCCCCGAAATCCCTCCCTCGATAATGCTAACGGCCGGGCTAGCATCATCAATCGCCCCCCCGCTGCTAAGCGAACCGCTGCTAAGTTCCTCACCCATGGTGTGGGAGCCGTCGCCCGAGGGTTCCACTCCACCGCGGGTCCGCGTAGCAGGCATGGTTAATTACGTACGCGCACACCCACACACACAGCTCTGTACGGCACTCACTCTTGCGCTTCTCTGCGCCGCGCTGGCCGCTCACGTTACAATCGCGCACCTGGGGTACGCCGATTACGCACGCCGCGAGCTTACGCACACACAGTACCACACGCGTTCCCACACGCAACCCGCGCGCTCAGCTCCGCGCAGCGCTCACTCACGTGGCGAACCACTGTGCACACAGCGCACCCACACGCTCACACTGCACGACAAGATCACGCGAGACCACGCTTCGCTATTAATGATTTATTATATGCCACCTGCGAATTGATGTTGAATCAGTGAGTCGACGAGGCTGGCCTATTCCACTAAACCTGTACCTATTCCCTATTTATCGGCTATGATTCTAATTCCCCTTCTTACTCACTGTTAAGTGTCCACGGCGGTCCGCTGATCCTTCTGTTAACCGCGTGCCTCGGTGCGTCGCACGGACGTCCGGGTCGCTGGCTCGAGCTGCGTCTGGTCGCCTGGCGCTGGAGTAAGAGAGCGATTTCCCCTCTGCGCTCCTCTATTTATCCTCCCTACCTCCCAAAGGGGATGCTGCGCTGAACAATGGGCTCGTGCACCCCAAGCCCGCGCACGGCAGTCCCCAGGCGCTGTTGATATGCTAATCAGTGTGCTGCGTGCAAGGCGTAAATCCTAATTACTCCCTTACCCTTCCTACCAATGGGGCTTGCGCGCTCAAGCGCAATTATCCCAACCCTCCATGACTATGCGCAACAGCCCCTGTGACCCCGCTATTCATGCTGTCCCGTGCCTCCCCTGCTTGCCCCGTCGACTCGTGGGGGTGTGTGTGGGGGGAAATGCGCCTCAACCGCGGTGGCCGAATGCCCCACGCCGCGACCACACCATATTAAGGCCGGCAGCAGCGCCGCGGTACCACGTAGCACGGGGGAGGTCATCCAATTCCCTGATCGCCGGAAACCGTGAGAATTAATCCCGATAAGGGTCTCTCGGATAAAAACCGGTCGATCAGGTAACCTTCCCTTCCAGCTCTATGGGGGGGGGGGGGGGGGATGCGTGCGGGTGTGTGCTTATGTGGGGCGGGTGATTGGGGGCAGTGCGGTGGGGGAAGCCGGGCGGCTCCCTGGCTCGGCAGAGCGGCCCCGTCGCTGTGGCACCACATAGCCCCCCGGGGTGCCAGTCCCCGTCCCGGGTTGACTTGAGCACCTCGCCTGGGTTGCCCCCACGAGGTATCGCCGCGGGGTCCGCGGGATTCGCCCGGCCCTTGTGGTTGGCCTCGGGGGTGGCGGCTCCGTCTCCTGGGGCTCCGGCGGGGGTCTCCTCCTCCATTCCAACGGCTCCCCTCGGCCTCTGGCACCTGCGGGCTGGGGAACAAACTCAGAGGCGGTGGGGTTTAAGGGTCGCCGTCCTCGTCGCCCCCGGCCCCGCCCGGGGCCCCTCGGAGCCCGGGGCTCCGTGGGGCCCATGTACTGCGCGAGGCCCCCGGGCACGGGGGGTGGGGGGACCCCGGGGTTTCGGGGTACTTGGACGGCGGGGCTCCCCCCCTCGGGGGCTGCTCGCCACGGCTTCAGTCGGCGGATGTTGACCACCATCTCCCGGCCCCTCTCTCCTCCCTGAATCAGCACCGTCCATGGTGAGATCTGCCGTCTCACAATCCAGGGTCCTCGCCAGTAGGTGGTCAGCTTCCCCACCTGTCCGGCACCGACGCGGGGAGTGTACAGCCACACCTCGGAGCCCGCAGTGTAGAAGGGGGGCTCCATACGGGGTCGGGCGCCCTGCTCTTGCCGCTGGTGCGCGGCCTCTCCGTGCGGGCAGGCTCGGCCCCTGGCCCCTCGCAGGGTCTCCAGCAAGTGCTCCACGGGGTGGCTCCCTTCCTCCCGTTGCGGCGGAGGAACACCGAACAGCAGATCTGCGGGCAGGCGAGACTCGCGACCAAACATCATTAGGAACGGGGTCTGTCCTGTAGAGGTGTGAACGGCGGTGGTGTAGGCGAACAGGGCATAGGGAAGGTGTTCGTCCCAGTCCTGTTGATTCGCGGCCGCCATGCGTTTAAGCTTCCCGGCCAGAGTCTGGTTCATCCTCTCTACCATCCCGTTCGCCTGGGGGTGATACGCCGTGGTTCGGTCCTTCTGGATCCCGAACTCTCGGCACAGCGCCTGAAATAATTCGGCCTCGAATTCACTACCCTGGTCGGTAATGACTCGTTCGGGGATCCCGCACTTAAGTACATAGTTTTCCACGAAGGCCCGGGCCACTACAAGGGCTGTTTTATCTGGGATAGCCACCGCCACGGGGTAGCGGGTGAAGTATTCCACCGCTACGAGAATATATCGGTTGCCCCGGTGGGATCGTGGAAAGGGCCCCTGCAGGTCGATTCCGACCAACTGATTCGTCCGACTGACTCGGAACGGCCTCAGGGGTACCTGGTACCTCGCCGGCTTTTGCCCACACTGCTGACAGGCCCGGCAGCCCTGCACCCAGGCGGCCACATCTTGTGCCAATTTGGGCCAGAGATACTGGCGACGCAGGGTCTCCCGGGTGCGCCGTTCCCCATCATGGCCCCCGAGTGGGTGGTCATGCACCAGCCGTAGCAGCTGGGGTCGCACCTGGGCAGGAACACAGATGCCCCCCGGCTGGCCGGCCTCGGTTAACTCCCGTACCACTCCGTTCCGCACACACAACCGGGCATACAAACCGCTCCAGGGTCCTGGTAGGGCGCTCTTTTCCTCCCGCAGTGCCGCCTCCACTGCCGCCAGATCCGGATCTCGCTGCTGGGTCTGTCTCAGCTGCTCGTCGTTTAGGCCCGGGAAGGCGCAGCCGACGTCCTCCTGGATCCGTCCGATCGGGTCCCGAGCCGCGGGTCCCGCGCTTGCCGGGCGGTCGACGGGATCCTCAGTGCCACCTGTGAGGGTTTCTGTGGCGCACACTGCACTCTCCCTCGCTGGGGGGGGGGTCAGTGGCCGCGGCCTCTCGGGGGTCCGTTGCCTGCCGGCAGCGTCCCCCCGTGAAACACGGGCAGGCCTCCTCCGCCCTCGTCTCGGCGTACACCGTGGGTCGCCTCGATAAGGCGTCCGCGTTTGCATGCGTCCGGCCAGCCCGATACTCGATTTGCAGGTTGTACTCCTGCAACTGCGCCAACCACCGGGCCATCTGCCCCCGCGGCTCCTTGAATGTAAGAAGAAACTGCAGAGCATAATGGTCAGTGCGTACGCGACATCTCCTGCCGTACAAATACGGTCGGAACTGTTTGCATGCGAAAATCACGGCGTACAACTCTTGGCGGGTCACGCAATAGTTCAGCTCGGCCCCACTCAAGGTCCGGCTGGCGTACGCGATGACTCGTTCCGCCCCATCCTGTACCTGTGACAACACCGCGCCCAGCCTGCTGCTGCAGGCGTCGGTGTCCAAAATAAAATCGGTGGTAAAATCGGGGAAAGCGAGGGTGGGGGCGTGGGTGAGGTGGTCTTTGAGAGTGGTGAAGGCCGTCTGGCAGGCCCCCGTCCACTGGTAGGGGTGCTTAGGGGAGGTGAGTTGGGTGAGGGGGCGTGCAATCTCGCTGAATCCCTTTACAAATCGACGATAATAGGTGGCGAGCCCCAAAAATGATCTGATCTCCGTCAGATTCCTTGGCCGTGGCCACTCCACTACGGCGCGTACCTTCTCCGGATCGGTGCGCACGCCTGCCTCGCTGACGCGATGCCCGAGGTACCCCACCTCGCGTTGTGCGATGTAACACTTACGTGGCTTGAGCTTGAGATGAGCCGCTCGCAGCCGCTGGAACACCTCTCGAAGCCTGGACCAATGCTCAGACAAAGATCTACTGAACACTATCACATCGTCCAAGTAAATCAGGCACTGTTCCCACTGCAAGCCCCGCATCACCAACTCCATCAACCGCTGGAACGTCGCGGGCGCGTTAGTGAGTCCGAACGGCAACACTCGAAACTCAAACAGGCCCATCGGGGTGGTGAATGCTGTTTTTGGCCGATCCTCCTCCGTCATCTCCACCTGCCAGTAACCGGACGCCAGATCGAGGGTGGAAAAATACCGCGCTCCTGCGAGACTGTCGAAGGTGTCGTCGATGCGAGGTATGGGGAAGGCATCGCCGAGCGTGACTGCGTTTAGTTTACGGTAATCGACGCAGAATCGGGTTGACCCATCCTTTTTCGTTACTAGTACCACCGGGGCTGACCAGGG